TCAGCCACAGCAGCAGCTCTGTGCAGAGCTGAGCTCTGCCAGCTGCACCGTGCAGGCAACAATAAAATGGATGGAGAACACATGACTTGAGAAGAACAAATAGCAAAAACAAATAAGCATCTTTCTCCTGTGAAGCTGCTTGCAAGTCCTGCCTCAAGGCTGCAGGAAAATAACTCCCCAAGCAGGAGGCTGTAAATGTTGTGTTAAACTCCCCAGCCCAGGCTCAGGGGAATCCTGGGCCTGACTCTTGTTTTCTTTCCAAAATGACATGTTCATATACCCAGTTTATGCCACCTCCACTTGGGATGTGATCCAGCATTCCTGAAATAAACTTAAATCCTTCCATAGCCTTCAGCTCACTCTAAATCAGCTGCTCCTCTGATTTCTGCTTTTTCTCCCATTCCTCCCTCCCACCAGTCAGGACTTTTCCTTCCCTGGCACTGCACAGCTTAGCTCATCAAGCCAGCAACAGCTGTCCCGTGCCTACTCCAAACCCTGGGAATGTCACCTCATTTGTCTGGTCCTGCTCTGCCCATCCTCTCTCCAGACAAAAGTACCTGGTAGATGTATCCACTTTGCTTCCCCAGCTCTCTCTCCTTGATAACATTTCCCTTTCCCACACCACCTGCAGCCACCAGCCCGCTGCAGCCCTGGCCAGACGTGCTCCAGGCCCAGCACATCAGCTGGACATGGCCATGCAGAGGCACAGCAGGCAGGGGAGAACCTTCCCTGGCATCCAGGAACACTCTGGAGCACACACATTGCCGGGAGGAGATGTTTATTTTGCCCTGACTCAGCTCAGCACCATTCCCTACCTCATCCTGCTCTGGCAGCCATCTTCCATGGGAGAGGGAGAGCAGCAGGACCAGTCCCAGTCCATGGATCTGTTTAGAGGCCAGATCTCTGTGTGTGTGTGTGGATATTCTCCCTTGCTGAAAAGCTGCTCTATGTGGCCTGGAAGGAAATGGGCCAAGGTCTTTAGTTGTTAAAAATCTCATGATACTTTTGCAAGCAGGATGGTGTAAATCAAACAACCGGGCACAAGCTTCCTCGGTCTGGGTAATTTATATTCTGCCTCACTAAGTTCATCTCTGCACTTCCAATGCATGAAGTGATTTTTCACTTCCCCTGTAGTATTTGCTGGCACGGAAAAGCTGCTGGGCTCTGTCCCAGAAGTAGCTGCATTTCATCACCGGGTGAACGATCCCTGCTCGCACGGGGCCGGCTCCCCGCAGGCTGCGCTCGCCCGGCAGCTCCGGAGCGGGAGGAGCGGCCCGCACCCGTCCAGCCGCACCGGCGCTCCAGGAGCAGAGCCCCGCCGGCACCGAGCGCCAGCCCCGGCCCCTCCGCCTCATCCGCGGCCGGGGATAGGGGCGGGGGATGCGGGCGAGGATGCGGGAAGGGATGCAGGCAGGGCTCAGGGCAGGGACGCAGGCAGAGATGCGGGAAGGGATGCGGGAAGGGATGCGGATGAGGATGACTATATGCTGAAGAATGCGGGCAGGGATTCGGACAGGGGTGCGGGCAGGGGATGCTGCCGGGGAGTGGAGGCAGGGATGCGGGCGGGGGTACGGGCAGGGGATGCTGCCGGAGAATGCGGGCAGGGCTGGGTGGTGATGCGGGCAGGGATGGACGGTGATGCGGGCAGGGATGGATGCTGATGCGGGCAGGGATGATGCGGGCAGGGATGGATGCTGATGCGGGCAGGGATGATGCGGGCAAGGCTGGATGCTGATGCGGGCAGGGCTGGATGCTGATGCGGGCAGGGGTGCGGGCGAGCCCCGCTCCGCGCCCGGAGCTGCGTGGAGCCACAGCGCCCCCTCCTGGGGCCCGGCGGCACCGCCCGCCCGCCGCGCTGGCGCAGCCGGGCTGAGCCGGGCTGAGCGGGGCTGAACCGGGCTGTACCGGGCTGAGCGGGGCTGAGCGGGGCTGAGCGGGGCTGAACGGGGCTGAGCGGGGCTGAACCGGGCTGAACGGGGCTGAGCGGGGCTGTACCGGGCTGAACGGGGCTGAGCGGGGCTGAACGGGGCTGAGCCGGGCTGAGCAGGGCTGAGCTGGGCTGAGCCGGGCTGAGCGGGGCTGAACCGGGCTGAACCGGGCTGAGCCGGGCTGAACAGGGCTGAGCCGGGCTGAGCGGGGCTGAACGGGGCTGAGCGGGGCTGCGCAGGGCTAAACAAGGCTGAGCTGGGCTAGTGGAGCTGAACAGGGCTGAGCTGGGCTGAACGAGGCCACACAGCGCTGAGCGGGGCTGAGCGGGGCTAAACAGGGCTGAGCTGGGCTAGCGGGGCTGAACCAGGTTGAGCCGGGCTGAGCGGGGCTGAAGGGGGCTGAGCAGGGCTGAGCAGGGCTGAGCAGGGCACGGGGTGTGTTCCCTTTTTTGGGGGATCCCTCCCTGATTTCCCACCTCCCAGCACCGTGTCTCGCAGTGCTCAGGGGTTCTTCACCCTCATTTATGTTCTCCAGTTATTTTTTTCCAGCCCTCCCCAGTCAAATTTTTCCTGCTTTCTCAACATCTCTGCTGTAAATACCAAGTCCTGGGTAAAGTCTAGAAATCCCCATCCATTCCTGGGAGCTGGGTGCGGATCCCTGGTTCTGGAGTCAGTTCCTGCCATGCTCTCCCGAGCAATGCACCTGGAGAAGGTGGTGGGGCTCCTGCCTGCTCAAAGATGAGAGGATTTGGCTTTGAAGTATTTCTGTCACACAGACAACAATGACTATTGTCTGCTGGCAGACCCATTCTCACGGAGTGTTTAGCATCCGCCTTACACACACTCCCAATGTAGTAAACAGTGGTGGTTAGGAGGGAATAGGGACAAATCCCATGCCATTTCTTTTGGGACACATTTTACCTAAAACTAGCCAATTCACCATATGTTCCTCCTCTCCAAAGTTTTAACACTGACTTTAGTCAACCTCATTATATTCCTACTCTTGGAGGCTCATGTCCTCACTAGGCCCTATGGAAAGAGGGGAAGAGAGGAAGGTCAGAGGGGGATGTTAAGCACCTCTAACACCAGTGACATCATCGCCCTGTGCCCACTCTCATTTCTGATCAAAGGGGCATGCAAAGGGAGTATCTGTCCCTTGAGTATGGGAGGGTTTTTCTCTGAACCAGGGTAAGACTGGAGTGGAGCCTTGCATTGTGTGTTTTAGCCATCGATGTGTGTGTGGTTCTGCTCACACACACTCACACACATTTTAAAGCTATGTAACTCCAGCAGAGCTCTTCCCATACTCCCAGACTCCAGCTCTTGATCAGGGAAGGCATGATGAGTATGGAAATGCCACCGCTCCCCCAGCCATTTCCCTGCTTCCCTGTCTGCTGCTCGTCTGCCTTTCCAGTAGTGAAATCATTCCCGAGTCCTGGGAATCTGCAAAGAGCCATAAAACAAGCGTAGACGCACCAAATGTAGAGGGTTTTCTGCTGAGTTGCAAAGGGCTTTGGAGTCAGACAAACCCCAAATCAATGCTTGGAGCCAACTACAAGAGAAGAAAGCTACACTGGAGGAGCAAACCCCCTACTGCGAGCCCTGCAAAGACGACAGCATGTGTGTGCTCATGTGAACTTCTGAAGGTTTGATTTACATAATAAGAATATCAGTGCAGCTATTTCTGCCCGTTCAGTGTGTGTGGATCCCACCTGTGTGGCTGAGCGTGCGGGAGCTGCGGGGCTGCAGAGCTTGGAGAGGGGTTTACAGAGGGAGCCTGAGGGGCTGTGTCTGAGCCTGGGGTGGGCTGCGAGCTCCACAGCATGTGCTGGCTGTGCTTGGCTTGTACATGCTCCAGGGAGAGCACGGTGGCTTGTCTGGGGTGTGTGGGAGGGAGAGAGTCCAGGGCTGGCTGGCTGCTACTCGCAAGCAGAGCTGATCGATATTTTTCCTTTATAAGGAATCTTTTTTCAAAAGCCTTTCATGTTCCTTACACCAAAGCCACATCTCCTCTTTACTCGCTCCCTCCTCCTCTCACTGTCTTCCCAAATACTTCTCTACAACTCCTGGGAAAGCAGATTTACTGCTATGAACACATTATTATTATGCAGCCAGATGAGCAGCCAGAGTAAAGCATGAAGGACCCTTCTGTCCTGCCTAGTGCAGATGTCAATCACACGGCTAAATTCAAACACCAATTCTGCCAGCATTTCATCTGCTGCTGGGTTCCCTCCATGAAGAGGAGACTGCATCCAAGAAGTGACACCTCCTCCCCTTCCCCACTGTCAGGTACCAGCACGGGGGAACTCTCCAAAGCCAAAACACGCACACCTATAACCCCCCTCCTCTCTCCAGATGGTCTCTGGGGATTTAGACCCAGCCTGTGCTGGACCCGGGGGTGATGCAATGGCATGGAGATGCCCTCCGTCCCGCCATTCCACAAGGACTGGAAAAAGGCAAAGTTACGCTCCACACCAGCCTCGCAAGCAGCGCGGAACGGGGGAATGAATGTAGGGAAAACCCATCTCCAGCACCGCGGGGTGCAGCTCCCCGCCACCCCTTCCCTCCCCCGGCTCTGCCGCTGCCTCCCATCCCCGCTGGAAGTAGAGGCAATCAGCCCAGTGTGGGATTCGAGGCGACAGACTTTCCTTTTCCTCCGCGATTTGCTTGTCACTTGCGAAAGCGGAGCAGCGGATTAAGTGGAGATGACACCATCTCCTTGGGGACGGTCCCCCCCTGCTCCGGGATGTATCGATACTCCGGAATACAGATGGATCCTGGCTGCCTCCCGCCCCCACTGCCAGCCCAGCCGCGCCGGGGCTGAACCCCAATCGCCGGCCATGCTCCGGGGGGGCTGCCCCAGTAAAAACCAGCGCTCGCAGTGCGCGAATCTCGGCACCACGCGTGCAGAACGGAGCTGCGGGACTTGGCCATCCATCCCCCCGGGCAGGCAGGGCGGGGGTGCGGGCAGGGGGAGCGGAGGGGCCGCGTTACACAACGCGCGGCAGGACGGGGGAGCCGGCCCCGGGCACGGGCAGAGCCGCAGCCGCAGCGCAGCAGCGCTCGCCTTACCTGATGCTAATGTCCCTCTGTGGCGGAGATCGGCTCGCCCGTGGCTTTTATTCGGCTCGGTAGGAACTTGTGGGAGAGCTTCTCTGTCCAGCTCGCATACTGGGTGCGGGGCTGAGACTGCAGGCGTGAAAATCCTGGGGCTCTAGCAGTCCTTTTCATGCTCAGACAGAAAATCCCCTTCCTTGATCCAGATCGCGGGCATTAAGGGCAGAGGCAAGGAAAAAAAAAATAAAATTCCGCTTCTCCCCTTCTTCCTTTTCCTTTTTCTTGCTTTTTTTTTTCCCCCCTTCCTGTGCCCCCCCTCTCTTCTGCTGCTCAGTTCGTAGCCATCGGGGGAAAGAGCAGAGGCAGCAGGGAGAATGGAGAGGGGGTTAGAAATAAAAATGAAAAGAGCTCCAGGAGGGAAGCGAGAGGCTGGGCTTGCCACCGGGGGAGGGGCTTGGAGCGGGCTAGAGAGGATGAATGGGGAAGAGGAAAGCAAGGCGGAGCCCCAGCCTGGCCATTTTATTCTAAGAAGTGTTTTGTACATAATTAGAGAAGGGGAGGGGCCGGGGGCAAAAAGGAGGGACTAAAGCTCCGGCCAGACGGACGGAGCCTGGGCCGTGGGAAGGGAGGGTGAGACCGGGAAGGGCCGCGGGATGGGGATGCGGGAGGGGTCGAAACTTGTCCGCCGAGGGGGTTTGGGGAGGAGGCAGCAGCGGGGCCGGTTGCAGACCCCATTTAAATAGACCCCATCTATTTAATTTTAATTCTATTTTTTTCTACCCCCACGCCTTCAGTTTTCTCCTCCCGGACCCGGAGAGCTCCCGGCTGGTGGGAGAGCAGGATGAGCAGGATGAGCAGGATGGGCAGGATGGGCAGGATGGGCAGGATGAGCAGGATGGGCAGGATGGGCACGATGGGCACGATGGGCACGATGGGCACGATGGGCAGGATGGGCAGGATGGGCAGGATGAGCAGGATGAGCAGGACGGGCAGGATGGGCAGGATGGGCAGGATGGGCAGGATGAGCAGGATGGGCAGGATGGGCAGGATGGGCAGGATGGGCAGGATGCTCCCGGCCTCGCTGCGGGGATCCCGGCTCTCCGTGGGGAGCGGGGCCGGGGCCGAGCCGCTCCCCAGCCCCGCCGGGCGGGCGCGGTTCAGCACCGCGGACAGCGCCGGCCGTGCCGGGAGAGCGGGGCCGAGCGGGGCTGAGCCGGGCCGAGCTGAGCCGGGATGAACCGAGCCGGGATGAGCTGAGCTGGGTCGAGATGAGCCGAGCCGAGCTGAGCTGGGCAGAGCCAGGCCGAGCCGAGCTGAGCCGGGCCGTGCTGGGAGAGCGGAGCCGGGATGAACCGAGCCGGGCTGAGCTGAGCTGGGTCGAGTTGAGCTGAGCCGAGCTGAGCCAAGCCGGGCTGAGCTGAGCTGGGCCGAGCTGAGCCGAGCTGAGCCAAGCTGAGAGCAGCTGAGCTGAGCCAGGCTGAGCTGAGAGGACCAGAACTGGGCCAAACTATGGATGCAGCCGGTTGCACTCCTGGCCTGGCTGTGCCCCCCAGGTGAAAGTCCCTCCTCTGGATTTGGAATTGGCTTGGGATGGGGAATGGAGATGGGGCTGATTCAGGGGCTTGACCCACCCAGATAAACCTCATCAGACCAGCAAAGGCAGCCCAGTGTAGGGGCAGAGCTTAACAAAACTGTGATGTGAGGCTTCCAGACAGGGACCCCGAGGTTTCCAGACATTACCCCTAGGCAGTGGTGGGGCTGGGCTGGGCTGGGCTGGGCTGGGTTAGGCTTGGCTGAGCTGGGCTGGGCTGGGCTGGGCTGGGCTGGGTGATGCTGATAGTGGGAAAAAAACACCCACCTCATGCAGGGTGTGTGGGCCAAGGAGGGCAATGGGAGATGCCCTCCTTCCTCCAAGGACAAGCCCTTCTCTGGCCTGCAAGGACACTCTGTCCTTCTCTCACCCATCCCTTGTGGCTACAGAACATTGTCTTAAGCCAAATCTTCAGCAAGTCTTTCCTAAGCAGAATTAGAAGCTGTTTTGTTAACTCCAAGCTGCTCTGACTGGGCTGAAGCTCAGCTTATGCCAATGGCAGGGTGCCCAAATCCCCTGAGTTGTGCCTTTTTCCAAGGGACTGCTCAGCCACAAAGCACACTTCCTGGTAAGCCACCTTGGATTCTGTCACACCGACTCAAATAAAAGACTGAAATGATTCCCACAGATTCCCCTGGTGCAAGGCCACAGAGGAAACTCCACAGCAGGGAAAATTCAGGCATTAGGTCTTACACAGAACATACAAACAAGGCCAAAGCCTTTGTTTAAAGAAATGGCACATGGGGATATCATCAGTGTGTTTTTTCATTGATGCTCTTGGCATTACCAGAAGTGGAAGGAGAAGCCTTGTGTCCTACATGAGGCTGTTTGAAATAAAAGCAAAGGCTCCATGAACCTGCAGTGCAGCCACATGGGATTTGCCAACTCAACCAAGGCAGCAGTTCTGGGTGTCTTTCCTCACTACACCTGAGAAGGCTTCTGTGATTTGGTCTAGCAGGGTTTGGCACCGCCCAGAATGACATTTCATACTCCTGTGAAGAGGGAGAGAGAGAAAACAAATGGCATGATACTCTTCAGGCACCCAAAGGCCTCACAGACCTAGGGAACATTTCAACACCCAAGGGCTGTGTCAGGGGAGGGTCAGGTTGGATATCAGGGAAAGGTTCTTGTCCCAGAGGGTGCTGGGCACTGCCCGGGCTCCCCAGGGAATGGGCACAGCCCCGAGGAGGCTGCCAGAGCTGAAGGAGTTCTTGGACAACGCTCACAATGAGAGGGTGGGATGGTTGGGGTGTCTGTGCAGGGCCAGGAGCTGCACTGGATGATCCTGGGGGGTCCCTTCCAATGCAGGGTATTCCATGATTTGGTAATTCTGTGATAAAAACTCTCTAGGAAGTAACACTTCCATCCACAAGGTCCATGTCAGCCAATTCCTGGGGCAGATGTCCTGCCTGGAAATAAGATTTTCTATCAATATAATAAAAATAGAAGTAGAGGAAAACATAAAACAATGTAAAAAAAGTAATTTTGCTTATGCTTTTCCCTGTCTGCCCCCCTCCAGTCACACATACACTGCTGCTGCCTCGTTCCCAAAGCTGTGACTGTCTCTGTATCAAAAGAGGATTATTTGGTGCATTGAGTATTCAACATGTTCTCTTACAGTATTGTTGTGTTCAATGAGCTTTGCTCATCTGAATGGACACTCACTGCATAGTCCACTGGTTTAATTTGCTGCTTTGGAAACCTAAGCAGGTTACAGCATATTTGGCTATGTGTCTGTTCTTATGTGTCAAAGATAAGGTTTCTGGATGCCATTTTTAAAAACAAAATTATTTCACTTCGGTAGCTTTCTCTTTTCAGTGGTCTCTTCTTTTTAGTCTTGAGTATTTCAACTCACCTTCTCCCTACAATGAACAAAGCCTTGATCTTCACCCCAAATCAGCAAAGCTCCATTGAACAAGGATTTCTATTTCTTCTTCCAGTAAGGATTTTTTTTTTGAGCTTTTAACAATTTTAGCACATCCAATCCTCACTTTTTTCCACCCTTCTTTCCTCAGATATCTTAAAAGCAATGTTTGGAGTTCTTCAAACTATAATATTGTTCCCATTATGAAAATAGAAACCAGTCTATCAGAAGAACAGAAATTCACAACACAAAGAGTTAAAAGAGAGAGTCTTCAATTTGCATGCACTGGGCAAACAAAAAATTATGGTAGTGACGAGGATGGGGAAACAGTAATTTGGGAAACAGTAATTTTGACTCTTTATTAGAAGTTGAGGAATAAATCACATGGAACTGAGAGACCCAGAAAGCAGAGAAGTGTCCATGTTGATCACTCAACAGCTGCCACAATGATGGACAAAGATGTTTTCTTGGTGTGTTCCAGGTATGCTGTGGGTGTGGGTTAACCCCAGTGGTCAGCTCAACACAGCACAGTCATCCCCTCACTGCCCTCCAGCCCATATCCAGGGGCCTGGGGGAAGAGGAAAGGGAAAATAAAAACAAGAAAACTTGGTGATCAAGAGAAAATGTTTCAAAATTGAAGCAGTAGAAGATGATTAAAAGAAAACAAAGAAGTGAGACGAAGGCAAGCACTCACCATGTCCCACAGGTAGACAAATACCCAGCTAGATCTCAAACAAAAGATGACTAATCTAACCAAAATCCTCTTTTCCCCCTTTTCATTGCTGAGCAAGATGTTCATTATTGAAATCATCAGTGTGTTAACAGCAAATGTTCTGGTCACAGATCTACAACAGGATCCTTTGAGCTGCTACGGGACACATTCACTCTACCCCAAACAGGCCAGCACAAAGTGCCATTATTATTTCTTGCAAAAGGAGCTGTATGTGCCAGCTGCACACAGTGAATTCTTCATCTCTGTTTGTGATTCTACAGCAAAGCTCACTCCAGAGTCCCATGAGCTGGTGAAGATATTCAGACTCCACTCTGTGTTCTTCTCATGCTACAGGCAAACTTTTCTCCCTCACATATCCTGTTGTGTTGTCCTCCTTGAGGATGCACAATGTATTCTTGTCAAGGTTTCACAGACTTCATTGTTTATTACAGGCTAAAAATGGATTAAACTTGCTTTGTGAGCATTGTATTGATATTCTGGTGCTCTCCCAGTCTCTTGTGAAATATATTTCCTCTTTTTCCTCTGCAAACAATATCACAGCAAGCAGTGATCTTACCCAGGCAGTGCTTTGTGCTGGCTGCAGAGAAATCCTGTGCACCAACCAGATCCATCTGCTGCTGGCATCCCTGAACAGCTGGAGGGGTGTCCCAGTGTTCCCCAAGCAGGATGGGTGACACAAAGGGCTCCACCAGGCTGCTCTAATGGATGGCAGAAGAAGGCTGTGAGTGGGCTCAAGGGTGAGGCCAAGAGGCAAGGACCATGCAGAGCCTGTTTCCATCACCCCCAAATGCAGAATTAAAGGTTTAAGTTGAGCCTTCTGCAGTGGCTGAGGAAATGATGAAAATCCCAGCCAAGACAAAATGCTGGCAGGTCCCAACAGAGTGGGAAGAAGCAGTTGGGAAATGTTTGTTTGTTTGTTTGCTTGTTTTTCTAATAGGAGTTTCTAGTTCCCTTGCATTAAACTGAACAAACCTTCTTGGTGCAGTTCTTAGATACCTTAAAAATTCAGAACTCACTCATCTTTCCAAATAGGTTTTCCATCTTTGCATTGTTCCTAAATTAACATATCCCAAATTTATCCATTTAGAAAAATCCCTTTCCAGGTTCAAACTAACAAAGGCAGAAATGCCATAACTTCAGAATTGAACTCCAGCTGTCCTGGGCACCCACCTTTCAGGACAC